ACAGTGATTTTCCAAATGATTAGAATGAGTGTATGCAGAGACGACTGCTTCCAGTCCTCTGCCAAACTTAAAGCCATCCAGTGCACCAAATCTGATTGCCATCTTTGCCCACTTCTAGGGCACATAGTAGAAAGGAAGGGGGAAAGGGTGAAAAGCGAAATGGCTGAGCTAAAAAAAGGACAGAATCGGGGCTTAATCTGATTTCTGAACCCACAGACAGTTGTCATATTTGCTTCACAAGAAACAACACAAGAATGAGAAACACATGAGAAAATCATGCCTTTAAATGACTAATGAAGAACTACATTTTATACTGCAGTCAGCCAGACTGCTTACAGTAATTACATAAAAGTAGCAATGAATACACTCTGATTTATTGCGTAATGATAAATACAAAAGAAGAAAAAGTACTTTGAATGTTCACAAATGTCCTTTAACTGAAACAACCAAATACACTCATTTAATCATTTGCATCATATTAGCAACAGCGTATCTATCGAATAGCACTTATTTAACACTGACGGGAAATTAATGGATACAGGAAAGCACAACAGGAAAAATCAACAGTCCATAAAAGAATATATGTAAAATTACTTAAAAAGTCATTTCATGTTTCTGTTTAAACAACTCATGTAAGGAAATAGCAGAAAATGCTAAATACTTTGGTCACATTACATAATACATTCTCTTCTTGCTTGAATGTACAGCAAGTTACAGCACAGTATTACATTATGAAGTCCATAAATGGAAATCTTAATATTAGGATGTCAATACCTTGGACTTACCCTAAGACATTTAATCCTGTTGTTTTTCAAAGCCCAGGAAAAATTATATGATATCTTCTTGAGGACTATACATCCTGAATAAACATTACAGCAATATCACACTAACATTATATTACGCAATTAATTTTCTAATTTCTTCACTTTTTTTTTTAAAACGGGTCAATTATGGAATTTTGGGTTCCTGTAAATGCAATAAGACCACCGCACTTAACAGACAGTAAATTCTGACTGTGTATAATCAGTGTCATATTGTGTACTGAATGTACTATTCTATATACAATTTTCCATTTAAAAATTTTTTAAAAATTGTATTTAAGAATTACTTAACAACAGCATTTGTATGGTAGCAAAGCACCTTAAGTTCCCACTATACATAGCTTTACATGGTTTTGGCAAGTATTGCTGGATATTTTGGCAAGTATAAAGCTGTTGTTGATGTGTCCAGATTCAGCAGTAATTAAGCACATGATCATGCACTTTGATAAACATGAGGGCCATCCCCTTAGGGAAGTGATAATTTTGTTCCCACAGAGCAAGAGGTGATACAGGCAGCTTTCCATGTAGAAATTCTGTGTCAGTACAGTTTGTCCTTTCTTCATATACAAAAACGCCATTAAAAAATTAGGAAAGACACCTGTGAAATTCAATATCAGCAATGTAAAAGATGCACATCTGGCTTATAATCAATGTGCTTAGCCTCTTCTTATTGTTGTGGCGGTGAAGCTTTGAATAATATAATTAAGGTTGGAGTTTGTAAATATTCTTCCGAGAAATTTGTTGGGAGACGAGGATTTATCCAGCAGAGCCTAAAACTTCCATAATATTATGGCTCTTGCTACAATCATCTGTTACGTTTGATTGAATGATATGGAAGAGGACAAATGGAATACATCTTGTGAGTTCTGTGAGTATTATACCTGGACATCTGGAAAAGAAAATATCTCCTTCTGGCAGATTAACTCTTAAAGTCCATTGAAAAAATCTCCTTCTATCAAGATGTACCTTTAAAGAATCTTAAAAGCAAGATCATGTATCTTATTGGTGTAACTTACACCAGCACATCAAGTAAGATTAGATATACGAGCAAAGGCACTTTTTACTGTGTCTATATGAAGATGTTTTTCTGATCTATAAACTTCATAAAACATCCCATGAGGCCACAATGCACGAAGTACAGGCCAGACCTCAGACTACAAGTAGTAGGCTTAATCTGTAAACAAGTTTCTTCCATAGCTAATAGGTAAACAACTTTGAAGAACAGTTAAAATGAACCCCGAAATATCTAATCAGTTTCTTTAATCAAGACACCCTCTTACTTGGTTAAATTTTGCTTGCAAAAACCAATCAAAAATACTTTGCCTGAGAAGAAATCCAGTTTGTGCTTCAATTTCATTCAGAGTCCTGCCTAACTCAGCCATGATCTGGGTATGAAAAATTTAAAACTCAAGTGTTAGTTTATTACAGACAGAGTTGTTTGTAAAAGCTGTGAGTAACAATACAAGGCCTGGGTGTGTTTTGAGCATGTATTTTATTGGTAGATAATAGTCAGGATTCAAAAAGTTGCAGCGAGTACCCAAATATCAGTATGAGCAGCATTCCTTCCCAGTGCTACCTTTGCAGGTTCTCTCTAACACTAAAAAAAAAAAAAAAATCTTATAATCCCACGTAGATCACCATCAACCTGTCATGAGTGACTTTCAATCTAACATTTATAATTTTGGTTCATGTGAGTCCAAATCAGACATTTCAGTTTACGTTCATGCTAATGAAATTCAGATAAACTACCGTGGCTGCAGGCCCATTGACTTCTGGCTGAAGAGTCCACACAGCTGGATGCCTGTAAATCAGGCAGAACACAATTTCTGCATATAGGTTAATGACTGTTGTGCGTCACCAATGTGTAAGAGTACAGACACTAAGCCAGAGATCTCAAAACAGCATTTCGCTTGCCTGGCAACTTTCTAATAAAAACAAAGCTTATTTTTCTGTCTGTATCACATTACATGATGTGAACATTTGTAAAGTAGACTACACTAAAGCAAGAGGGATAGAGGGAAAATTATACCCCTATTGATGTAAAATTACTTAGGCTACATATTCACTTTGAGTCACCACAAATCCATGCTGACACCAAAAGAATCAGTTCCATCTTCCTCCCCTCATTTCTCACCGCCCCGCCACCATTACTCAGGCAGTAGGATTTGTACATACATAACGCGTACTACGTAAATCATCTAGCAAGTTTCTTTCCTAAAAATGTTGCTTTCTGACAAATTAAGATGTTTTGTTATCAGAGATGTTTTATATGGCTATAGCTTTTATCTGTCTAGAAGAAAATCACAGATAAGGCTAATCAGTATCTGTTTCATTCTATAAACAAAATGCATTCAAATTATTCTTTTTGACTTGGCAAGTGTAGTTTTAAATCTGGTTCTGCTTATTTTCGTCTAAAAATCCAACACTAAAAAAGCCACATGTGCATAACTGCCCTTAGTGTAATAAAAACGGCCACCTTAAAGATCACTGTCAGCAAAAGGGAAGTAGCAGAGAAGGCAGAAAGACCTGCTTACAGATATAAAGCAGAATGACAATGATAGCATAACTATTGCTTGACATTTTTAATTCAACAGTTTGGGGAGAGTTAGCCATAAAACAGAAGTTTTAAAGTTTAAGAAAACAATGAACAAATCACACCATCGCAGCTATTCATGTTAAAACTTCACTAAGACAATGGTCAGCATTTACTTTGCTTTTGTAGTTGGCTCAAAAAATTTTATGAGCACTTTTGCAGAAATTTATTTTGAGGTCACCCCCCCCAAAAAAAGGGAAACCTTGAGCAACTGGTTATAAATTCCACTTAGCAATATAAGATTCTTGAAGCTGAAATGTTATCCAAAGCATTCATTCAGTTTTAGCATCAAGATCCTTGACCCAGACTACAAACTGTATTTCAAACAAGCAATGATTTCTTATAGTGATTGCAAGCACCTTAGAGAAAAATCATAATTTTCACAGAAACATAGCTCTTTAAAAGAAGTAGTATTTGTTCCTGGTAACATCAAAGTATTTTTTCTCTTCTGTCTACAAAAAGCATTGTCATGACTTCATTCAAAACACTGTTTTTCTGATCGCATTTGTGGATTGTAACGATAGCCATCCTGCGGTGCTGCAGTTTGTAAACCACAAAGAAAGTAGTCAACAGGTGGTCTATTGCTACATACTTTTACTCTTCCATTAGGTAACCTCTTTACACCAACAAACATGTACTACCACCATAGTATCAGATATATAGTCATCACCACCAAAAATCTGGCTCGATATAGCCTTTTCTGTCCCTTGCCATTCATTTTTTTTTTTTTCTATAATTTTGCAGAAAACACTCAGTTATCTTCTAGGAAGTAGCAATAACCCCTCTATTTAAAATGGAAATTATCACCAGAACTTAAACCCCAAGCACCTTAGAAGTCAGCCACAGAGCAATGCAAACACAGAGCAAAATCAGTGTTTCTTTCCTCACCTTCTTGGTAATCTCCTCTTTTGCATTTTACCTGGTACATTCCAAATCATTGTTAGAATTGCATTAATCTTATGTTTGCACACAACCTCACAAAATTTGAGATCATTACAAAATTTACAATCATTGTCAACCCAGGCTGACTCTTAAGGAACAGTTTTCTGGGTCTAGTAAGTGAGGGAGTATACCTAAAGCAATGTAACAGAAATACCTCCAGAATTCAACACACTGCTTTATAACCTCTGTGTCAATGTTCATATTTAAATTTGACTTAATACATGTTACATGTAGGAACTTTTGAGATGGTATATCCAGTTTTTTACTGAAGCTTACATCCTGCACATACTGCATAATTTTAATTCAAAACTTACCAATTTTAGATCCAAGATGACCAAAGTACGTTCTCAAAGCATACACTAATGTAACAGATATTACGGGTTGGTGGAATAGTATTTGCAACTCAAAATGGGTAAACTGAATCTCCAAAACGAATAACAGTATATTCCAAAATAGAAATGCAAAAAGGCTGAAAATATTAAAAAAAAATCGTTAACCTCTTTTGCCTTTCAAAAACTGGTGGAACCTAGACATAAAAATTATAACAGTCAAGTTTTACCAAAACTAGGTTTCCTTTTTAAATCTAAAACTAGGAACTGGGCCGTTCAAAGCTAAATATTAAATCGCAGATAAAAAGGACTTACCTTCCTGTCTGTTATTTTTCCTTTTTAGCCATTTTTCCACAGTTTCCGCACTTACGCTTTCTGACACAAACTCATCCAGTACCTGGGGGTGAAGAGAAAGATAGGCCTTCACTTTTTCATCTGTTAAACCTGAAAGAGAGAATATTAATTGATTACATTATTGGTATGAAATTCCTCATATGAAACAATACCTAGACGCCAGCAACAATCGTTTTGTTTAAGACGTTGATTGAAGACATGCCTATTTAAAATATCTCCTCCCAGACAGAACAATATACAGTCAAAAAAATGAGCTGTCATACAGAAAACAGTAGAAGCAAAGCATATCCATGCAAGACACTGTGTACAAAAAGTCCCCTACAGGAGTACACATAAACATTACCTGGGAGAAATGGCCAGGAAGGAATTTATGACTATGATTATGACTCTAAAATTACTTATTTCCAAGATATACAAGATGATACATTGATAAAGAAACTGGGTGGAAGGAGATAGAAGACAGTGAACTGGTATTTCTCGTAGATCATCAAATTCAGTATTCTCACTGCAAGTGGCAGCAAAAACAACAAAAACTATTATGCAACACCAAAATCAAGCGCAATTTTTAAATACTGGAGTTACTTAAGTAACTTCAAAATTAGAAACTGCTTTCACAGGCATGCTTCCATTGCTTTAGTAATTCAGTTATCAAATAAAAGTAATTGTAGATAAAAGGCCTTTATAATATCTGCAACAAAAAGAAAACTCCAGTACACATTTCGGAAAAAGAAGCAAAATTCAGAATCTCAGATCCCTGACACAATCATAAATAAATTCCCAAATTCATAAAATTACAATCTGATCATACCCTTCACAAATCCCCCAAACAAAACCACTGGCCACAGGGAGGTGAACCCAAGAGTGCCGAGGCTTTCCGAGGGAGGGCAGGAAAAGAAGCACCCCTGTCCCGCGAGACTAGGCTCCAGGCTGCCACAAAGGGAGCAGGCACCCCAAGTACAAAAGCCTTAATGAGATCCGAGGGGAAGAGGAGTAACAACCGCTGTAATGACTCCAAATACGCCTTCTCCTTTTGTGTGGTGTGTATATAAACGCAATGGTAAATTCTCCACAGAAAGCAGCCTAGGTTCAGCAGAAGAGAAACTCCCCTCCAGACAACACTGACCTCTTTTGGAGAATATTCGTGCTATAAAATGAGATCAATTTTCCTATTTTGTGCTTTGCACAGTATCAGAACATGCTGAAAACACCTATAGTGTAATTTAAATGCTAGTCAATGACGTAACTTTTAAGATGTCTTACAAATGTTTACTACGAAAGCCTTCAGGAAGCAATACCAGAACACAAACCAACAACTCCCGCCTGCAGAGCGCCAACCACACATGCCGCTCTCCCCACACCAACTGCACCACGTCATTCCCACCACATCAGCCCCCACCAGCCCAAACCTGGTTCAAAATACCCTTTCTCTTAATCCACATAGGCAGCAGTTCCTGGTAGGTATCAGAGCCTCAAATAACAACATTCCCATCTACAGGCAAGAATCTCCAGATCTGGATCACTTGAACTAAGAGAGCTAAGCGAGCATCCTGATTTTCATTAGTAAAGGAGAAACGGTTCTTCCTAAATCAGTAAGAGGAGGAGATGATCAGCAAGTGGGGGGAAAACAAACAAACAAAATCCCACTGCTTTAATGGTTTAACCTTAGGTGATAATTTGTAAATTTAGATCATAATACATCTATAAAGAAGTACATGTGCCACATGACTGAAAAGATTTTTCAGCCAATACAGGTATTGCCTCACATACTGAAAAATCAACTAATTAACAGAATTTTGTAATTTGCTCAACTAAGAAAAATGTAATACCTTGAAAAAGTCATTCTAATTTCATAGTAATGGAATTTGAAAAGAAAACGTGTTTGGAGAATCATTCATAAAGACTATAGTGTTTTGAAGATTTACCAGAGTTAACCATCAGAAAGTCATCAAAATTCATCTGCCTTTTTAAGTTCTGGATGAAAAATGATCAATACAGGTTTGTCACAAAATGCCTGCTACTTCCACGTTGTCTTTAGACTGCAAACAAACAGTTTGCTTCTAGTAAGAAACTAGGAACTGAGAAGTTTGTAAAATTAGCAACTGAAATTCTACAAGGGTTGTGTTTTCTGTGAAAATAACCTTAACTTTCTTATGCGTGCAGTCTGTATTCCTTGACTTCAATGGAAATACTTCCTCAATTCAAACCTTTATGGGTTGTGTTTTTTGTAATATACACATCAAAACTCAATAAAATGTCAATTTGAAATAAGACTTCAGTCTACATGTCAGGAGTTTAATTTCCATTCCAGATATACTGCAATTTCAGCAACCTGAGGGTAAAAACTCTGCTTTAACCTTACACGGAAAACTGATTCACGAAGCTGATATAAGAAATCCTACAACGGTCTTTAAATTACCCTCCTTTATTTCACTAAAGGCATCTGTGCAGATGTGCTTTTTCAATGTCAGATTTGTAGGTGGGAGCAAGCAGAACAGGATTTACAACTGCATTTGCAGACTTAAAAAGGAGTAACTTCAATCTATTTTCTACAATAGATTAAAGCAGACTTACCGGTCCTCCTAACTGTTAAGTCTACTGTGTCGAAAAATACATGCTACAGCCATACACACAACACTCAACCAAAATGAGCAAGAACACTTTGTAACTTCACAAAGTGTAACATTAAGAAAATGCAACATTAATAGAAAGTAGCCTTTTAGAAGCAGCTTAAACGTTTTCTGTTTTACATACATTAGGGCAAAAAAGTGTTGTAAAGAAGCTTGAATGTAAGAGCATTTTACAGCTGTGCATAAACAATTATTTTATGGCATATATAAAGCCTTCTACATTGTAAGATGTACATAAGAATGAGATTTTTACATAAGAACATGCATAGGTTCAATGATGGACACACTTGCTCTCTTCAACATTCACATGTTCCTGAAAACTTCTGGTACATGCATTGTTGTTAAATATTATCAACCTCTCTGTCAAATTGTTGTAATCTTTTAATTCTGAAATATGAAAAAAAAAAACCTATTTGAGAATTCAGAGGCACTGATTAATAACATTTGAATAAACAGGACAATAATACTTACACCCAAACTCAGGAACCAAAAGTTTATCATGCCAATCAGGTATCATTTACAGAATTAGAAACAAAGAAACAAAACACAAGCCAATGCTGGTTATTATTTTTTCTGTTACTAATGTATTGGTCTTAAGTATTTTGGGCAGTAAACTTTTCTACATGCATTCACATTAGAAACATTTCTCGACTACTCCTTTCTTCTCCCCTTACTACTGTTGGACCCGTAGACGAGTAGCGACAGTAGTCTATGTCTACTATTTCCACAGTGCTCTCTACACAACAGGGAGCTTCCCATCACCTCCAGTGATGCCAGGACTTCTCTCATGCTTGTTCATCAATACTTGTGTGACGCATAAAGTATACACATCAACAGTATCTAACAAAGAAAAAGGTAGTAGTGCACACATTCAGAACTGTGTTTGTCTATAGGCTTTCTTGCAAGTAGCCCAAACAAAAGCTCCCCTCGCTTCTTTTCATGCATCCCCAGAAAGCATTGCCTCTTGTATCTGGAACCTGTCTGTCCTCCAGCAGTGCTGTGGCGGTTGTCAAGAGGGACCATCACTCGGGAGGGCTGAACTTGGCCAACAGCCTAGCATGAGCAGGCCAGAAAGCACAGAAAGACTGGAACGACCCTAATTCCTCTGGGAATTAAAGGAGGAATCTGGAATTTGGGTTGAATGTCCATTCATTCCAATTATGCATTAGAGTTTGCCTTCCTGATTCATACATATATCCTGTTTAATTAAAACCACACACACACCCCAAACTGCCTTTCTCCCTTGTATTCTTATTTTAAAGTGATAAACGCACATTTCAGTGCTGATACAGAATCATTAAGGTTGGAAAAGACCTCTAAGATCATCGAGTCCAACCATCAACCCAACACCACCATGCCCACTAAACCATGTCCCTAAGCGCCTCATCTACTCGTCTTTTAAATACCTCCAGGGATGGGGACTCAACCACTTCCCTGGGCAGCCTGTTCCAATGTTTCACCACTCTTTCAGTAAAGACATTTTTCCTCAACCTCCTTTCAGGTAGTTGTAGAGAGCGATGAGGTCTCCCCTCAGCCTCCTTTTCTCCAGGCTAAACAACCCCAGTTCCCTCAGCCGCTCCTCATAAGACTTGTTCTCCAGACCCCTCACCAGCCTCGTTGCCCTTCTCTGGACACGCTCCAGCACCTCGACGTCCTTCTTGTAGTGAAGGGCCCAAAACTGAACACAGTTTTCGAGGTGCGGCCTCACCAGTGCCGAGTACAGGGGCACAATCACTTCCCTGCTCCTGCTGGCCACACTATTTCTGATACAGGCCAGGATGCCATTGGCCTTCTTGGCCGCCTGGGCACACTGCCGGCTCATGTTCAGCCGGCTGTCGACCAAAACCCCCAGGTCCTTTTCTGCTGGGCAGCTTTCCAGCCACTCTTCCCCAAGCCTGTAGCGTTGCATGGGGTTGTTGTGGCCGAAGTGCAGGACCCAGCACTTTCTGGCGCAACTTGGTATTGCTGTGTTTTATTCACGCATTAACTATTTGTTCTGGATTTGTGATTAAATAATAAAAGAGATAATAAAAATACCATGCAAAAGGACATATGCATATCAGATAAGCTCTTCCTTTCTTCACTTCCCTCTGACCAAACTGCAGGCAAAGAAATGGCTCGGGCTGCCCGCCGCCGGTGCTAGCTCAGCAGCTCCCGCCGCTTGTGCTAGCTCAGCAGCTCCTCCCTTCCTGCCCAGCACACCTGTTCAGGTTCTCTTTGTAGACCTCAATTTGAAATGTTCTCTTTGGCCATGCCATCTGCTTTTAAAAGCTCATTCATACACACGGAAAACATTAGTCAAGGTTAGTTTGTTTTCATTTTTTCCATTTCTTGGCTATCCCTGTCTGAACAGTAAGTGGAAATACAGCTTTTCAATAAATGCTGGGGTTTATGCAAGTGTTTCACCTTATTGTGGTTTTTGTGTAACTCATTTATTATAGGGATGATACAAAATTGGCAAAG